TGATTCCTCTGATTCACCGAATGCGCTGGCTCCTTGGCGCCTTGGAAGATTCCTCCTCTCGTCCGTCGAAAGTATGGATACGAACTCGTAATCGTCAGCAATACGTACTTAAATACCAACAGGTGCTTGTGATTTCAGGGTTAGCGAGCACGGCCGCTGAAACCACCCGTCTCCGGCATCCACCCTTGCCCTCAGGGAAACCGTGCAAAACCCAAGGGGGAGAGGTTGCACTTTCGCGTTGGTTACACTATTATAAACTGCTGTTTATCAACGTCAGCTCACGAGTCTACGAAAATCACAGTTCTACAAGTGCAGACTGTATATACCGCACACACTCACAAGCCGGCAAAGTTTATCACTCAAAACGTTTGTGAAATTAATGCGTATATTTTCAAATAATCCCACCGCTGTCACCAATTTTGTCGCGTATTTTAGCGGGGAATTTGAGATAAGAACGCGGGTTGGTGCCCGTGGAGCGCAGAACCGCTCTGCTTGTCGGAGTGTGGGAATTTAATAAAACTAGACAAGAGAACTCTTTCGTTAGGTAACTTCGTACTTTATTCTACTGGTCCGAAGGCCGGTTAGAGACGCAATGACATAAGAAAAATCGTAGCGTTTCGAAGTCACCTCCGAGGTCCTCGCCGAAGTCGTTGGCCAAATCCTCCTAGTCCTCCCATAGATCCTCGTAGTCCAATCAGGGTGAAGGACGCATCAGATCCAAGCGGTAGGCCGTCCTTCCGATGCACGCACGCCCCCGCGAATCGGCGTCTAACTTTCCCTCCGTCTTCGGGTGGTGGTGGGAACTCGGTGGAGTCGCGCTTTTCCGTTACACAGCGGGGTGCCTACGTGGGAAGAGAAAATAGGCTCTGCTCCGAGGATCGAGAGAACAACCCTTGAAGGAAATTTATGACTTCCTTAGCGTTGCCAACATTTCTGGAGTCGATCGACGCTCCTAAGACTAACAAAAGGACAAGGCCTTTTCAAGAGGTTACGTGACTTACAAGAAACTCGCGATTCGTTTCGGGGTCTGCTAATTGGTGTCCTCTTCCTGTTTTCGAGCTCTACCCAAGATCTTTCCCACGCGTGCCACCAGCATCGCGCATCCTTAACAATATTCTCTCAATCACGCATAACCATCCGCTTTTGAATTTCGCTCCTAATTTACCTATCGATTATTATATTTCTGGGGCTACGTTCGCGTGGTCACGCAACAATAACACGAAAAGTCTCGTTAAATAAGACCTATGGAATTATTGTAGCCTAAGGTGTTTTATGTTTTCTTTGAAATAAAGATTATCTATATTCTTTATTATATTATATAGGTATATAATCTTTACGTATATATGTATAAAGCAGAATATAATTAAACGGACTCCAGTACCAGAGTCGGCTATGGATAATCTGTGGCTCTCTTCGTTGGTGGAATTAATCCACGAGCACACGTATATATTTCGTGATCGTTCGGTGTAGAGAGTTTATGTATTTTTAACAATAAACTTTATTCAACAATAAATAACAACAACGGATACTTGGTAACAACAATAATCTTTGAATCTTAGTACGAGCAGTCGTAAGCGAATCTGAACGGGGACGGAAGTTGTTTGTCTGTCTTCCGTTCTATGCTTTTCGCCATCAAGAGTGGAAACCTTTTTCTTGGCGCTTGCAGCGCCGCCTGACGTTCCTAGGCATCAACATTCCGAGTGGAATGTGAGTCGCCACAAATCTAATAGAAGTGGAGACCCGGCTTAAGGTTAAGTCTATCCTATACCTTATCCATGCTTTCTACGATTGTTATCTTTAGATAACAATAAGATAAAGATCCTGTGATTCAGTTGAGTATAGTTCAGAGATGCCAGAAAATGACCGCCGGGTGCACACGCACACATGCCAGATACGCGTACGTGAGCTCGTGGAGTTTCGGAAAGTCGACAAAGGCAAACTGACGCATGCCCTCTTTCTCGATTCTCCGAAGCTGCCCGAAGTAATTTCGGATCGCCTCGTGGGAGTCGAGAGAGAAAGGCTCACATTTGCCTTCTCGCTCTAAACAACTGAAATCCGACCTCCCGTCAACGGCATACGATTTGGATTCTCGAGCCGAGATTCTCGACTGCCCAGGCATTTTTACTTTCCGACCTATGTAGGCGCACATAAGCAAAGTACCCATAATGAAAAAAAAATTTTGTAAAATTTATTTTACGGAAATACACGTTTTAAGACCTCCTAATCATATTTTAATTATTGAAAAAAAAACATTTTTTTTTATTCCCATGTATGAGCACACATATGTATATTATTAATACGATTGAATATAAATAGCTGAATGAAATTAAATGAAATTTTACATTTAAGTTTTATGTTCTCATTTCAAAGGCGTGTGGACGGATTCAAATACGTGAACACTAAACGTAACGATGTAATTATATTATTTAATATTTACTAACTATTTAACATAAAGAACATAAAAGAAAGACATAAAACGTAAACGTAAAAGATCATAAACGTAAAACTGTGATTGCTCTCGACTAACGTTCGATACAGAGTGACGTTCCTGCAGTCAAAGTCGACCCTTCCTTATTCCTATCTTATAATAATGATCTAAACAAAACGCACGTTCGAGACGCAGTCTCTAAAACGTATTTCAGCTTAAACCTAAACACCTCACTCGATACCTACTCTAGCTTAGACTAAACACTCCTATCGACGCAAACGATAACGGTTCTCCTAGCCACACACATACACTCCTTACAGATTATACCTCTTGTTTCATAGTTGTTCCGATATATAGGCATAATGTATAAAAAATCTTTTAAATGTTTCATATAAATCTTAGGACGAATTAAATTTTATATAAAAAAAATTATATAAACTTTTTCTCTATCTTCTCTAGAAAAGAAAACATTAAATGAAATCTTATACATTACATGCTTACTTAAATCGCATTGAAAACGAATACCACAAATGTTTTAGAATAATGTGCAAAATGTGATTGCGATTTTCGCTAAGACAAATTGAAAACTCGTTTCTAACAAGGAAAAATTGGAATGGTACCAGGTTTTGGGTTAGGTTTTACTTTGAGATATTATTAAAGTTATTACAGGTACTTATTTTCAGAAATAGAACTATGTTCACCACTAATCAGCGTGGCGTGAGTGATGAGGTCTTTTCCTGCAAGTTCCGAACTTCTTCTGCTCTGCTGGTTCGAACCCTGCTGGAACTTTTTTTTTTTATTTTTTCAATCATACTTTAATCGTACACTAAATATGACATTATATTTTTGTCTGACCTTCGAATATTTTTTTTTAAAGTTTTTAACCGATTTCATTTAACATATGTTATTTTCAATGTACGAAGTACATGAATCTGGATGGTACTTTTCACAAAAACAGTCAAAACATAAAAATTTCAAGCACCACGTACATTTACTGAAAGTTTTGTTTTCACAGAAATTACAAAATTTTGTATTTAACTCTGATGGAAAGGCCGCTTCATTTACATTGATAAAATGTGAACGATTTTCGGATAGTCGTACCTTGTAGCTCGTACTTTTTACCTTATACTTCAGGTAAAAAGGGATATAGCTGGGAAAAACAGTTTTATGACATTACCTGCTAACTTATGTTACTGTTCTACAATGAAACGCTATGTTTTGTACCTTTAAAAATATTCGACTATGTCCTTTTAAAATTTAAGATACAACCCATACTTTGTATTAAACTGGCAAACGGGATCACTTTTCCTTTGTTTCTAGTTAGTTCTATTTAGTTCGTCATAACCAATTGATACGGTTATTTCAAAACAATCGAGGAAAATCATTATTAATTAATTTCTGCAATTATTAATTCTACTGTTTTGTTTATGTTATAAAAGTAAGTACTCTTCTTATTGAAAAATACCACAGCGTGCACAATACTGGTAAAGAGGGGAATCTCATTTTAATTTATTAATTTTCAATCTTAAAGTATTTTGATTTTCAAAAATCGTATTAATAATATACATATGTGTGCTCATACATGGAAATAAAAAAAAATGTCTTTTTTTTCAATAATTAAAATATGATCAGGAGGTCTTAAAACGTGTATTTCCGTAAAATAAATTTTACAAAATTTTTTTTTCATTATGGGTACTTTGCTTATGTGCGCCTACATAGGTCGGAAAGTAAAAATGCGTGGGCAGTCGAGAATCTCGGCTCGAGAATCCAAGTCGTATGCCGTTGACGGGAGGTCGGATTTCAGTTGTTTAGAGCGAGAAGGCAAATGTGAGCCTTTCTCTCTCGACTCCCACGAGGCGATCCGAAATTACTTCGGGCAGCTTCGGAGAATCGAGAAAGAGGGCATGCGTCAGTTTGCCTTTGTCGACTTTCCGAAACTCCACGAGCTCACGTACGCGTATCTGGCATGTGTGCGTGTGCACCCGGCGGTGCTTTTCTGGCATCTCTGGATCCCACTTTTCATGGATCTAGTGTTTTTTCATTTTCATGTAAGCGATAATTATCGCCTAGATTAGTTTCTATTAACGGCTGTTACTTTTTCATTTAATAAAACAATGATTATATATAAATATTATAGAAAACTCTTGTCCACTCAAATTTAAAATCCTAACTACCACCACATTTTATGTTCCGCACAGAGCTTTATAAAATGTTCTTTGCAAATTCGCAATATGTAATAAAACATTCCCCATCACTAATAAAATAAATGTAAATTCTTCTTAACCTTTGACTATTCCATTTGTTGTTATTTTCTAAGTTTTCCTTTTATTTAATGATATTATGATATTAAAATACATAAATAAAAAGAATTTAGTTAAATATTGTATAATTTATGATGAATAAATCGTTAATCTCTTAACATAGCATATAATTACACGATAAATAATTTCTATTAATAAAAATCCCTTATTGCTAATCTACTTTGTATCAATATGAAAATGTGCATATTTAATTTTAATTATTTATAAATTGTTATGTGTCAGCTGTAACATGATACAAAAGGTAGCAAAATCTGGTGATCATTTTGATAGAAACAAACATTTCGTTCGTTGTAGAATTATTTCGAATCAGTTATTTCGGCAACCATGTATCTGCGTTTTTTGACAAGTTTGTAGATTCTTTGTTTGAAGATTATATTTTAAGGTAAGTAACAAATAAATTCATTCTCGTTCCTCATATTTATTGTTCTTTCTTTCTACATATTTAAATGATATCTTCAAAATAAATATCAAAGAAATATAACTGAAAGCTTTATTTAAACAAGTATTCCTATGGTGTGTGAAGATTTTTGTAAGAAAAAGTTTTTAATATATCTGTATACCCGATAATAACCTTCATATTTATATTTCATTATTCATAAATGAAATAATTTAGATGAATATTATTTATTATTTAAATATTGAAGTTTCATTATGTTTATCGTAAAATAGATAACAAAATTCAGTTTTCTATTAATTTATAATAGAATAAATCAGGCATGTATACACGTGTCACGATTTTTTTACTATTTAATATACATAATGTACAAATTTTATTCAAATTTTCTAAAATAAATATACATTGTATACGCCCTCATTGCACAATAAATTTTAGTAAACACACAGCATAATAATTATGAAAAATGTTGTATTAGATATAAACAATAATATGGTTATAAGAAAAGATATTTTTTTTAAACAAGTTTTTAGTACACTAAACTTTCATTAACCTGTAAGCTTTTCTTATTAGTTTATCTTTGTGAAATTTGTATCTAAGACAACTTTTATATTATTTATAGAACTTGACAAGAAATAGAAAAATAAAGTTAAATGGCATGGCTATTGTCCATTTTTCTAGGGATTTGTTCGTTTTATAAGTGTGATAAACCCCTTAAAAAATGCATATATACTTCTTTTTAAATAGAATCACATATGTATTTTTGTTTTACTTGTATCAACTCCATTAAATATTCTGTGAAAAAAAGTGTTCAAGAACAATTATTAGAGTGTCACTATATTCTAACACATCACATTTTTGATAAGTTAAATTTTAATTTACTGTGACGATAAATAAAATTTGTTGATTATTTGAGGTATTGCCTTTGAAAGGCTGAATGTTATTGATTGCTGGCATATTATATGTTTGCAAATATTTACAATGAATATGTGGAATATCTTTTACAGAATGTATAGCTTAAAAAATGATATTTTACAAAACATTAATTTTTTAAATATTATACCCTAATACATTTTTACACGGAATGAAAAATAGACAATGTCGTATGGTTCAACTTTTCCCTTTACAGTTTTTTCTATTTCTTGCCAAATTTTACATATAACCAGTTTAAATTGCACAATGTAATCTTTATATTTATTATTTTTATTTATTTAAATTATATAACAAATAATATTATTCTTAGCCATTATAATGTTCTTTAACTGTTGTTTATTAGGTTCATCTATAAAAATTAGATAGGAAATATAAAAAATGGAACATGAAAAAAATAAAAAGATTGGCTTGGGAAGAGGAAATGCCCTTTTAAAAATGTTAAAAGAGAGAGCAGATGCAGAAGCTGCAGCCACAGCCGCAGCTGTAGTTCCATCTTCGTCGATAGCCAGCACTTCTGCTGCCGATGTGATTACTCCTTGTCCAATAGCAAAGGGAAGAGCTTGTCTGTTGGATGTAATGAAAATGAAGAAATCTGAAGTACTAAGCTCTACATCTGTACAAACTGTTGGTCAAGGTAGAGCATCTCTACTTAGCCGAATTAAAACTATGGGGTATGCATTCAAAATATAAATTTAATTTTTTAATACTAAAAGCCAAATAGAATAATTCATAATGCACTTGCTTAAATCTAATCAAATTATCACTTCTAGTTTATTTGATATTGTCTGTTTAAATAGTAAAATTAATAATACTTAAATATAAAGCTTACTGCGATAAATATGTACATCATTGTATAATTATGTAGTGCCCATCGTACAATTAAGGTGGCTTATATTTCTTATATTTCCATAAAATTTTCTACATCAAAATTATCGTAACGTATCTTTACAGTTCAGTTGGACAAACCATTGAACAACCAAGCATTCCTGCATCTTCTGGTGATGATGCAGGAGTATTAGGTAAATTATCAGATATTACAATAGAAGAAACTGCTAGTAAAAAATATGCTCAAGATTCTAAGTCATCATATCAAAGACCTGAGCCAGTTAACCGAAAAGGAACTGGGGGAAAACCGTAAGTTAATATTTCTGGATAATACAGTAGTGCCCACTTAAAATAACCATGCCCACATAAATGACTGCGGTTGGTCACAAGCGTGGTCATTTAAGTGGGCACTACTGTATTTGCTAGATCTTTCTGCTAACCCATCCAATAATAAAATACTTTTAGTAAACCCTCTAGAGTAGAATTCAATTATTATTTTTGAAATATATTTTAAATGGTTTTCTAAAAAGAAACTGTGTATAATTAAAATTCTTATTTATTTAAACTTTTGATATGTTGTTCATTAAAATAATGTACACAATAAATATAGGAAAATTTAGTGAATACAGGCTCCAGTTTGGAAACATTGTGCTAGATTATTTCAAAATAGTAGTAGAATGAATTAAAAAATAGTAATAAACTTTTAGGATTCAGTTAAGTGCAAATTATATAAATCTCAAATTAGAGCATGGAAAAGGTTTATTCAATTACGAAGTGAAATTTAATCCTGACATAGATTCAAGGCCACTTCGTTCAAAACTTCTTAATCAACAGTTAGAAGTAGTTGGACGAACGAAAATATTTGATGGTGTTACACTTTATTTGCCTCAAAGATTAAAAGACGATGTAAGTAAAAATAGTAATAACAGAAAGTAAGTACATAAATGTACATGACATACAATTTTTAGATAACTACTTTTCACTCTACGCATCCTATCGATCAATCAGTTGTAACGCTTACCGTAATATACAAAAAAGAGCAAAGTATGACTGAGAACATTTCATTTTTCAATATTTTACTTGGTCGTGTTATGCGAGTCCTTAGTTTAGTTCGCATTGGTCGTCACAGTTTCAACCCAAAGGGTATACAATCGGTGCCACAACACAAATTGGAAGTGTGGCCTGGTTATGTTACAGCTGTCAATGAATACGAAGGAGGCCTAAAGTTATGTATAGATGCAAAGCATCGTGTCATGCGAACAGAAACAGTGCGTGATGTAATGTAAGATTCACAAATAATTTTGTTAAGTACCAGCAGCTATTATAAAATGAATTTAATATTACTACAAACCACCATAATATAGGATTAAACTTGCGAATAAACCAAATTATCAAAACATGGCAATGAAAGAATTAATCGGATTATCTGTTTTCACGAGATACAATAATAGAACTTATCGCATTGATGATGTTGCATGGGAAAAAAATCCAAAATGCACGTTTCAAAAAGGAGATAACGAAATATCTTTATTAGATTATTATAAACAGCACTGGAACTTACAAATAAATGACCAAAAACAGCCACTTCTAATTAATTGCGCTAAAATCAAATTAAAAACTGGCGAAGTGAGTAATTTTTACAGTCATTATTTAACAATTGTACGTATGAATAGAAAATTTAAACATTAATCGCTTTAATTATGTAAATTTTAAATATAGACACAGGAACAGTTGGTACTATTAATTCCTGAGTTATGTTACATAGCAAGTCTTACCGATAGTATCCGTTCGGACTTTAGAGTAATGAAGGACCTGGATGTAATAACTAAAATGTCACCAAATGCTCGCCGCGATGTATTTAGACATTTTATTCAAGAGATACAGAATAACGAAATATCACGACAAATATTAGCTGACTGGGGCTTACAGTTGGAAACTGATTTAGTCGATTTCGCGGGAAGACTTCTCGAACCCGAAGAAATTATATTCGGAAATAATAGAAAATTTACACCTCCATCTCACAAACCTGCCGAATGGAGTTCTGCAATGTGTAGAAATGCTATACTACGAACTGTAAGTACTTTATGTGTATATAATTTGGTAACATCACATTTTAATTGTATTTTTAATTTTTAGCCTAATTTGAATCAGTGGTGTATCTTATACTGTCAAAAAGATGCAAGATGTACACAGGAATTTATTGGTATGTTCAGAAATGTGTCAAAAGCTATGGGTCTATCAGTTATGGATCCAAACAATATTTGTTTAAAAGATGATAGAGTTGAGACATACATAAAAGAATTACGTGCAAACATTAACAAGGCACTGAGTTTGGTGATCATTATTTTTCCTACAAATCGAACTGACCGATACAATGCTGTAAAGAGGTAGATTGCTATTTTTTACATTTTGAAATTATTATTTCCTATTGTAATTACGTTATTTATATCTTAGAGTGTGCTGCGTAGAAATGCCTGTACCATCTCAAGTAGTTATGTCCAGAACTATTAGTCGTGCTGACAAGTTGAAAAGTATAACGGAAAAAATTGCTTTGCAAATTAGCTGTAAATTAGGTGGGGCACTTTGGGCATTGGCCATACCAATGGTATGAATTAAATACTTATAACTTTAATTTCATGTACAAAAAATAGATATGAATACTAAATTTCAATGTATTAGGAAAATTGCATGATATGTGGAATAGATGTGTATCATGCAGGTGTTGGTCAACAAATGAAAGGAAGCGTCGCAGGTTTTGTAGCAAGCTTAGATAGACTACTAACAACTTGGCACAGTAAAATTTGTTTACAAGGTCGAAATCAAGAATTAGTTGATATGCTACAGATCTGCTTAATTTCAGCAATAAAAGCTTACTACAAGGTAACTAATGATTAATATTGTATATGTATTAGAATTCTGCAATATCATTACATTATTTATTACAGCACAATAAACGGTACCCAGATCGTATTATTGTGTACCGGGATGGTGTTGGCGATGGCCAACTAGAAACTGTTACTAAATATGAAGTGAAACAGTTGTTAGCAACGTTTAAAAATATAGAATCAAGTTATCAACCAACTTTAACTGTTATAGTAGTTCAAAAACGTATTAATACACGAATATTTGCAAAATCTGTAAGTTTAAAAAACAGAAAAAAAAAAAAGAAAGAAATAGTAATAATTCGTACTATTTAATCATGCTAATTTATTTATGTATACTTAGCAACAAGGCCTGATAAATCCGCCACCAGGAACAATCGTGGATTCTAATATAACAAGGTCTGATCTTTATGATTTCTTTTTGGTGTCCCAGAATATACGAATGGGTACAGTGTCGCCAACACACTATATTGTTATCTATGATAATAAAAATATGAAAGCTGAACATATACAACGATTGACATACAAGCTTTGTCACTTGTATTATAATTGGCCTGGTACTATAAAAGTTCCAGCTCCCTGTCAGTATGCCCACAAGTTGGTTTCTCTTGTTGGGCAAAATTTACAATTGGAACCTCATCAATCACTTTTTGATACATTGTATTACTTATAAGGTACATATTACTATCCATGACTAATTAATCTTATTAAAAAGTTGTAAATGTACATATCATATAGTTAACACCAAAGATAGTACACACAATACACATTAGATATTTATTTAATCGATTAGTTAAAATAGAATTGGTATATTTATATACATATCTTCACTGTTGATTCAGTTTCGAATACATTTGTCAAACAGAATTACAAAAAATTGATACATTTTTTTTTATTCAGATATTTTTTAAGTTCATAGTATTTTATTTCAATAATAAATAAATTATACATCTATTATCTTAAAAATCATGCTAAGTACACAAAAAGAATGTTCCATTAAGTTAATAAATACTATTATTTTTGTAATTAATATTTTTTAATAAAAACCTTAAATTTGCATAAATATAAGTACTTTTCGTTCAACATAAATTTAAATATTTTATTTGTATATGCATAAACTTTATACATTTTTTTTTTCTTTTTTAATAAAAGATAAATATTTTATACATTTCTAACAATTATTAAAATTAAAACTCTTAAACGAGCGGTGTGAATCACATACAAAGAAACGTTGGTTGAGTACGAACTCTGGACCTTGTGTATGAATATCTAATATTTTAGCGGCTTTATCAAACGCGTACTTCACCTTAATCTACATATAACAGGACCATTGAATTACACAAATAAGTTTAACGACCATACTTGTCTTTTGATTTAATGTAAATTTAACCGCAATTATGTTTCATTTTAATGTTACGTAACATTACGAATCACTATTAGAAATTATATTTTTAGCAACACTGTTAAAAACGATTAGTATGACCGATTAGTGTAGTGGAATTTATTTATGTGATTACGAATGTGTTTACAAACGACCCTGCCGATGAGGATCCAATACCTAGAACGACGCGAACAAAATGCGTGTATCCATAGTCGTCCACCTTGACTTAAAAGCACGCATATATGTTCGTGCAAGCGCACGTCTCTATATTACAACGCCTTATGTCAGTGTGAGACATTAAAGGAAGCAGTGGCGTACCGAATATTATAATGGTTGAAAATTGAAACGATCTAAGTGTCGCGCACGTTTTCAATTATGTTAATATGTATTTCTCACAGTTGTGTTAAGTCATTCATTGATCGATGCATAGATAAATGCATTACTGTTACCGACAGCATATTAAATTTCTTCTAACCATAAAAATAAAATCACCCTTGAATTCGAACACAATTTCATTTACGATTAAAACTTATCGAAATCTAACCTTGATATACCAGCAATACAATTGCAATATATTTTAAATAATAAATGCTAAAACATATGCAAATGAACTAATATCTCGAATGTAACATGAAAACTTAAGAAATCAAAATAATTGTATTCTAGTTAAAATGAAACAAAAATATTTTACTATGATTAAAACTTTCAAAGTGCCAACTGAATATTTCATTGCCAATCGTGAAGTATGTAAAATATTTCAAATATTTTGTCTTGATGAAAACAAGGCTAAAATAACCTAAAAATCAGAGCTGGGTAAAATCTGGAATAGTAGTATTAAAAATATTATTTTAAAAAGTGTATATTAAAGTAAATGCAAATAGAATAATATTTCAACTGTGACACGAAAATTTAAGAAATAATATAGTTTTATTTGAGTAGTCTAATAAAACTCTTTATTAGTAAAAATAAAGTAGGGGAAATACAAAGAAAAGTATCAGGTTCACAAACTGTTGCTCAAATCATATGCTTACATTTGATTGTGCAATTCTTTCTTGCAACTTAAACAATAGTTAAAGTACATACGTATTTTCATACAGACTTGAAGAGTATACAATTTAAATTATTACAGAGTCGTGAGATCTACCACCTTTGAGTGTACAAAAACTGGAATCAGGTTTAACCTACTTTTTTTTTTAAGTATTTTATTTCTTAAGTTTTCATGTTATTTTAGTCGTATTCCATTTGGCGACTGTTATTTACAATAGTATCTGGGTCTAGTTATGTTTATTTCAAATAAACTAATTTAAATAAAATCGAATTTATATTCCCAAAGAAACACAACAAGAAAATAGTGTTCCTGGATACAGGTTTTTTAGAAATTTAATACGTAGTATTTTGTTAAAATTATAATGGATCAGACACGGCGATAACATAACGCATTTATTATCAACTATTTAAAAGGCACATTTTAACCGACTCTGATCATCGATAACTTACGTTTCTTAGAAGGATGTAGCGCAACTTGAATGACCTCCGGGAGGATCCACCGCATTGCGGTGTTTAGTCGACACGATAGTTACGCCACTGCAAAGGAGACAACCGCATGTGTATGTACGTAAATACGTACGTACGGTCGTGTATTTACAGTCGTGGCGTATCGCGTATCGAGTCGCCGCCATTCGAGCGGTTAGCGCCTGCGTACATCTTGTTTACAACTGCGGAGCTTACCATACACATGACCTTTACAAGATGGACATGAGCGCCTATTTAGCTGTCTATGCGTGCGACGGAGAAAAGTTCAAGATACGTGCGTGTCGTTCGTGAACGTTGACGTGGGCGGAAGGAACCACGGAATCGGGTGATCTTTGACTTGGCTATCCGGAAAAATAGTCAAGCCACAGGTTCGTGATCACAAGTGACGCGGTATTTGTCGCTCACACGCGGGCGGAAGGGGGAAGAGAGGGATGGTGGGTACGAAAGGAGACCCAAATTTTTCACCTCGAGCAGATGTGATTACCGTGAACAGATTTCGCGTGTGTTCGATCGGGAGTTCGCGTACAACGGAAGGCGTCCACGTTGCCGTAATGTTGTTAACGGCACTGTGAACTCTATTTATGTGTTTTCTTCTGCAAAGTGTTCGATATACAAGGGGTGTGGGAAGAATAGTGCGTGTTCCTCGCATCGACCTGGAATGTTACCGTGTTTTGATGTGCCTACTATTGCACATGAAAAAATCGTCCTGCCCTTGACAATAGCCTATTTACCCGAAGCAGGCCGCCTTTATACCGCGCCAACCAACGATAACAGGGGTTCAACCACCCACCTGCGTGTACGTTGTCTGTCCCTCTCTCTTTTTCTCTACCTCTCCACGTATTTCTTCTAAACATACTTGCAAACGAGCAAACAAGCCAGCAGCCAGAAGCGTGCGCGCGCGCGCACGCATGCTTCCGCGTGTGTTGTGTACACGTGAACACGCCCGCGTGTGTCTATCTCTCTCTCTTGTATCATCGTGTATACAACCGTTTCTTTATATGTGGCCGCCGCCTGTGTATGTATACGCGCCACCATTGTAGACCACGCAGTAAATTGTGTTATTCGACGCGATAAACAGGTGCACGAGCCTTATAGCCCAGAAAAACAATTCTCGGAGGTTTAAACGGTTTTCTGATAAAGAGACGTTCAGACAAATGTGGAAACGCGTGAATGGTGGTAAATATTTTTGACCTTAGGCTGCGCGCAATCCGCCCTGGGATATCAGAGCTACGAATCGTGGCGGTCGAAATTAGACGAAAACGCGTGACAGGTGGAATCCGGAGCTACGGAGAACGGCCATCGCAGAAAGTTGCCATGTATACGATCCGCGTTTTCCAAGAATCCGTCACGAAGGGTTTTCGGTTTTCATCGTAGGATTAACAGTCTCTTAATTCCCTAACCTCGGAAAACGTGGTCAGTCGATAATGTACCTTTGTCCGAGTTGCATCAAAAAGACCGATCTATGCGACGCCCTTAGTACACGTTGAGTGCACATGCACCGTGGTGGCGTGTTATTGCTTATTTACCCCCGACACGTGCTTCCACCGTTAGCGTGCTTCGAGTACAACGATATCGACGACGACCTTTTCGCGATAAAAGCAGGACGGCGGACACGTTGCGCGGAGAAAAACAATACAATACGATTACGTGAGTTTTAAGGAAACGGTATTATTTTTTTTTTCATTCGAGTTTCGTTATGTGCACGAAGACGCTGAAACGTGGTTATATCAAATCGTATCTTCCAGTCGTATTCTCCGTGCAATAATCGTCGAGGACGGAAGTGTTTCCCTGTTCGAGCCTCTTCGACAACGTGGGTGGGATTACGCATTCTGCTACGATGAACTATCCAGAATAGCATGTTTTTGTACAAGATGCACACGACGAATTGATTATTCACGATCGCTTCGTACCATGTAAATGGCACAAAAGAACGTGTCATTAGAGGACTAGCAAGATTCTTCGCAACGACGGCCTTTTTGACCGTCACCGCGGCGATGTCTTCGGGCAGGGGTTTAGTCTCCCCTTCAGGAGGTCCCGTTGTTCGCTACGGCCATGTAAAGAAACTGAAGACCCAAAAGAAGAAATTTTTCGTCCTGCGAGGCGAGGCGCCAGGATACCCCGCTTGCCTCGAATATTACGATAGCAAAAAGAAGTTCGAGAACAGACAGCTGCCGAAACGTAGCATCATGCTGGACAGCTGCTTCAATATCAATAAACGCGTGGACACTAAACACAAGCACGTTATCGCGTTGTACACGAAAGACGAATGCTTTTGCTTGATTCTCGAAAGCGAAAAGGAACTGGACGAATGGCTGAAGGCGATGCTTTTACTTCAGAGTGGAGATGTAGCCGATGGAGAGCAACCTCGGCCTATATTTGGTAATGCGCTATTACGGTTTGAATTAGAATTAGATCGCATATTGAAGACGAAACGTTTCGCGCGTGAAAAATTCTTCTTTTCTGATACTTTCGGTAGGTGAACACAGTGTTCGTAAATACAGTACTAAATCCCGATGTTTTGATGTTTCGGGCCAGTTATTAACTTGTATTTCAAATGCGTCATTGTCTGTAATTTCGCAGCGCAGAATAAAGAGACCGAGGATCAAAATAAGAATTTATGCTTGCTTTGACAAATTGAAAAGGGCATTTTCTGAAGCATTTCTTGTTTAGGTTATAATCCTGACTTAATTTTCAGGATGTAGTGCATTTCTTGAGGTGTGTTTAATTTTTCTGTTGGTGTAAAATCGTACGCTATAACAATAATAAAAAGGATTCACAAATAGTGCTATTAAACTTTCACGTGCATGTTTTAGAGAAGACAAAAATAATAAAAAATATTCTTAATAGCGACGATTGCCCAACAGACATAATAAAAAAACATTAAAATATGTAGCATACAACAGATTTGTAAAAGTAACAGTAAAGATTATAATAACATTTCTTTCACATAAACTTCATCAGATTAGAAAAAAATAAAACTCCAAAATTGTTTCTTAACATAAGAATAGTTTAAACAAATACATAACGTCCATTAAAGACAAAGAAACCAAAGAATACAGCAACATTTTATGTAAAGTTAATTAAAAATAACTGAATAAATCGTACATTGAACAATACATAATTTACCTTCCATAGTTTTTGTTACATATACATACTATTATATAATTAAACAATTATTTTATTTCTGACTCTATGATTAGCAGATACAATGACTTCCATCAAAATTTTTTTAAATTTATACATTATACACACGCAAAGTAATACAATAAATATTTGTAAGGCATTCTTTTAGAATGAACATTATAATTCTATTATGGAGAACAAATGTAATTGTTTTCATAGTACTATGTTATATATTATCAATTATAGCAAGACATAAACATAATGTTTTATTTCAGAACATGTGTGGCAAGTTACAATGCAGAAAAAAGGATTGGGTGAACGAAAGAATATTCATGGTCCTTATAGGCTATGTTTAACTGATCGCACATTAAGTCTGGTGAAAATAGGAACAAAGGATAATTCAAATACTATTGAGTTTCCTGTAAGATCACTATCTTAATAAATAACATAGTCTGAGATTTGTGAAATAGTCTATTAAATTAAAAAAATTGGATTAATGAAATATTTTTATTTCATAGCTGAATTGCATTAGACGATGTGGCCATATGAGTCGTATCTTCTACATGGAAGTAGGTCGTTCTGCGATCACTGGTGGCGGAGAATTGTGGATGGAAGCTGAAGACAGTAACATAACACATAATATGCATGCTGCTATTATGAATGCTATGAGTAATTCTAGTAACAGTAAAGACGATGTGGAACCCCGTCAAAGGAAACGTAGTTCTTCTGCAACGGAGGCCAGCAAGCCAATCTTTGTCTTACAACGTCGCCATGCTGGGCCAAAGTTCCATAATTTTTCACCATTGGGTAAGTTTTAATTATTAAACAGTTTATTAGTTTCTTTGTATATCTCGATGCAATATAAGTTATGGTTTATTACAATTTCTTCTTGCAATCATTGATCGCAGAAATACATTTTCAGTTATGTAAATAAGTTTATTATGTGTTTATGATATTCTAGCATTTAGTTTTTGTTGAACACTCAATGTTTTATGCAGAAGCACCTTAATATAAGAATCACCCTCTTACGAATTCCTTTTTAATCCATGTGTAAGTTGTCCAAGATACAAGTTTTTTTACACCGTACCATAACTATGCTATATTATATGCTTTAAAATATCAACTGAAACACGATATGTACAATTGAAAAATCAGCTTTAGAATAACACAAATGGGTTGCGGGTATTACAGAAGAACACAAGACGCACGAGGAGCACGTGGATCCACTGCAGGAGCAGGAGCAGTCTAATCAGACTCAGAGTACCTCTTCTTGCAATACAGTCGTGGGTCTGTTTTCTGTCATTGTAGTTGTATGCTTTTTTCTTTTCATGACACGCGGGTATCGAAAGGTGTTAACAGCGATTACAATTCAGGACATTTACGTATAATATCGAAAAACAATTATTACAAATTGTTCATTTATCATAGAAGAAACTTTCTTAACAAAATTTTTTCCATATCAACTTTTATGAAATAATTTCAACAAAATTTAATCAACTAATACTTTTGTTGTATTATAAAATATATATTTCACTCTATACAGAAGAATATAACAATTAGATAAGATTTACACTATCTTTATACTTGTATAGTATTGTAACAAAATTGACGACATTTTATCGATTATCGTCGCGAGCTCGTAGGCGAGTTCCTAGTATTGCACAATATGTTTCAACTTCGCATTAGCAAACATTAGTAGACGTACATATACATTAACGAGATCGAGTAGAATAAAAATAAATGTGAATCGTATACTTTGCGACAAAGAATCATCGATTACTTTAAAAATTGATCAATAGTATTGTCTGGTAGGTAAAATCCATCCAACTTCATAAAATTCGTATAAAATAATCATTATTTTTACAAGAACTTTCATCGAATCATTATTATTATCAAACATCGAGTCGATTAAACTTTTTGAAAAATAAACGGAAAAGAAAGTAGTTGTACGACAGTGAGAGCTGTGTGGTTTGCAGTCGTTGCTGGTACCGGGGCTGGAACTGCTGGGATTGCCTCGACTAATACCAACTGTGCCACTACTACTAGACGTCGTCATTCGGTAGCGAGTCATCCCCATTCCGTCAATAATTCCCAATCCGTTCATGTCACAACAACAAGTACAACTACAACAACTAGCACCACTATCACCATCACTACGACCGCTACCGTGACCACCACAACCACAACCGCGACAATATCCCATCAGAGAACCCTGTCGCTGCCCTTAGCTGCCGTTATTATCAATCAAATGCAATCATCTAAAAGATCAGTTTTACGCTGTATGTATTTTTATTTCGTCATACGATAAGTCAGCAAGAGATATTCTTTGTTTCTCTTTAAGTGTATCTGCCTCGCTGTGTCCTGTTTTCTGTTACCCCTTCTCTATATCTTCATTCGTCTTGTCGGACTTAAAGGTTGCGTCATATAATTACGGTGTGTTGCGAGATCGTCGCGATTGCCGTAGATATGCAAGCTTCTACTCGCATGCGATCAGTTGCACTTGACTTCGTAACGAAGTTACGCTTCCTTTTGTTTCTTCCGTTTCTTCATTGCGCAAACCGGTCAATGGAATATTTCGTGCAGCATTCCTTTCGAGTAACGTTTTATCGTCGTTACCTCTGTTCACTCCGAATGCAACACATTCTTCCTTGATTGTTTTGCAACGTCCTGCGCAACGATTATATTCCGCCTGATTTTTCCCCGCCGTTTTGGAATCATCTCTTTGATCACTATTTCATTGCTTGATTTAAAATATATGTTTAAACGAATAACAAATTGTATTACATGAATATGCATAAATATATACAGATATCTATATGGAATCATTTGGATATGCAAACGAACTAACCGCTGCTATGCTGGGAAGATGGATGTTTTTCACATTTTGTTGCCTGGGTTTGGTGTTTCGCAACGATGTTCCTGACCATAATATTTTTAGGTACAAACGGGCGCGACAGATGCGACAGCTTACCGTCGAGGGCTCGTACCACCAGCGAGAGCCATCCTGCATCGGTATTGAGTCATTCTCGAAATACTCACTTTGTGTCTCACATCCTGAGACCGCATTCTATGTATGTGAGAGGCCTTTCCTATTCGCCACCGATCAGCTCGATGCCTATCAGTCCTGCTTCCGGGGCTTGCTCCACGGATTCCGCGGGCTCATCTCTTTCAATGGACGATGGTGGCGAAAACGTATTAGAGGAGGGCACGGTATCCAGATATGGACATTCTTTGACGCCTGACGAGCCTGTCATTTTGGAGGAGAATGGCGACGATTATGCTCTGTGGTCCATATCACACTCGCATCACAAATATTCGCCAAATTTCAAGTCACATTCTCCTTCCCAGGTAAGTAATTAGTATTTCTCAAATAGTCGAGAAAGGGCCAATGAAAGAAATCAATTGTACGTGACTTTTATTTTTCGTTTATTAATTTGAAGTGATGTCTCGATAAATCCATGTGCAATTATATTTTTTATGTTGTTGATACGCAAAATAATATGAACTTTGTTCTTCAACTTTTATAAATTTCCTAACTCCTGTAATAGAGAGTTAAATTTTCTCTACTAACAGTGATAAGGCGATGAACTTAACGCCTGTTCTTTATTGTATGTGCAGCAGAGTTCCTATATAGATATGTACAGTCCTTATGAATCAAGTCCTGGTCGTGGTGGTGGAGCCTACATGCCAATGAGTTCAGGGACAGGGCACTCGCATTCGCGGGCGTCATCGCTCGTCGAAGAAGCCAATACTTTACCAGAGGGTTACGTACCTATGGCACCCGTTGGGCACAACGGATATGTCGATATGGATCCTTCGCATAGTCACAACGGCCATTTCTCTGACGATATGTCGCAGCATGGTGGCAGTAGTTGTTCTGTTACTTCCGGTACACCTAGCACCGACTTACGGTTTTCTGAATATCATTTGGATAAAGTGACCAGTTTTCTGCCGCCTGGAGAAGATTTACAATCCAGACCAACGAGAGCTTATTCCATTGGATCTCGACCAGAACCTACAAACAGGCATCGTAAAAATAGGTACGACTTTCATGATAAATGTTAGAAGGTAATAATGGAAAATATTGGAATAGAAATTAAAGTTTACTACCTAGTTTTCTGTTTTCTTTGTTCTTTCAAAGGGTTACATGCCTTATTCTGTATATGTATAAAATTAGACAAAGGTATGTTAAGTAATTATGTGTTTCTATTTTTTTTTTTTGTTTTGGATAGGTTGGACATTACTCAACAGGAAGCCAGCAGGGTACGAGCGTTCTCTGTAGGCAGTAGGTCCAAAAAACCTGAGATCGGAAGGTTAGTGAACGTAATCACTGCACCATTGCCAGCTGGTTCTGAGAACTCGAGTTCTAACAAATCAAACTCGGCACCATTGCTATCCAGTTCTTGGGGGCACAACTCTGGTTGTTCCATAACTTCCGAGCGCATGGAAGATCTAATGGAATTGGACTTTACGAAACCCAGTATTTCTACAACACTTCATTCATCGCCTTCGTCTTATTCGCAGTCACACTCTCAATCGCATTCATACTCTACTGCCACCGACACCAGTTCCTATGTTGATATGTCTCCAGGACAACCGCCTTCATCGACCACCGCCCCGTACGTCGATATGTGTCGCATTAATAAGGTACTTGTGAATTTAAAATTATTATTACATTATCAAACAGGATATATCAAAAGATATATCCAATGAAAAATGATTTTATGTTACAAATTAACTACATTGCTTGCACGCTATGTTTCAAAGTTTCCTGAATTTACATATTCGTGAACGTTCCTTATAAGATACAGTTCAGCTTAATATATGTATGTTAGTAATTATCAGTGTTGTGCATAAATAATAATTAAATAATGAATTTTGTATTTTCATTTTTCAGATCAATCGTAATAACAATAATAATACAATCACTGCCAATCAAAATCATAGTCATATACATGTATCGTCCTCTGCTCCCACACATAAACCCGAGTTTACTACTTTGAAGCCAGTGGAAGAAGCAGAAGGGCCTTACATGAGAATGCATGGTGTAATGGAGGATTGGTCCCACTCCGACACGAGTCCTAAGCAAATTTCATCGCCTATGCAAGAAGAATGCGTCCAATCAAACGGACCACCAGGTGAGATATTTCTTCGAAATTATTCAGTATATTTTTAAGTATAAGCCTAGTTGGTTAAATAAAACTCGTAGAAAAAAAAACCAAACAAGATTTAATTTATGAACTAATTGTTTTCGGGATATTAATTCTTTTCTTTGGACGCAATTTTTAAACGTCTCAATTTGTCATATTTTCAAACTTGATGAATAAATTCATCGGGTCATAGAAAGATAGATATTGTTATATCAGTCAAATATATTCTCTACTTAGCGTTTTTTTTTTATCGTCAACCGCGTAAGAGATATGATATGTGACAATTGCATCACTTGTGAATATTAAAAAATTGTATTTATCAGTATATTTACAGTTTTGTATATAGAATGAAGTTACAATCCTTTCTTCAAACTACCACCGATAGCTAATATTAAGTAAATTTTACCATTTTATTGTGAAGCAGCCACTCCTTTAATTTTTTTCATACACTTATGATTTATATGTTTTTCATAGGCACGATAATAATCGTAAATAGTAACTATATTCAAATGTAAACGTGTGAGGATATTGTAAATAATCGTATCGCATGTCTTTATAATCCTGAAACATCCAGTATAAATTGACGAATTGATTTTTAGCATTTATTTTTTCAATCATTGTTCTTTTTATTAACGTATAGTGGTTATTTACATTTCAGGGGTCACGAGAACGGCACCAGTCGATCTTCCACGGCGTCCACCCGTCGACTATGTCGAGATGAACTTTAAATCGAGAACAACCTTAGAACAAGACTACATAAATATGAATATGAGTAATCGAAATAACCGTAAAACAACGCGGGCGGGTAGTCGAAAGGAGAAGTTGCGTTCTCAACCGATCGCGATCCAAGCCGGCAATAAACCTGTAAAAGCGCCTAGTTTCTTACCCCTAAACGGAAGTCCGGAATCAGAAAGCTTGTCGAGTACTCCCGCCTCGCCTCCACAGGCAACTCCGACAGGTTCCTCGGCGACTATCTTCCCCTTCTCTTTAAACAGTCCTCAGTCTCCCGAGAAATCTTTCATTCATCAAAAAAATAACGCCGGATCATCAGAGTTAAATGTGACTTTCAAAGTTAACGAGTGCGCGATCGTGGAACCCGCGAGCAGGGTGAACACGGCGAATAGTTCCGTTTCAGCGACGGAAGCGAACAATACTTCGTCTAAAGTAGGCAGCGATAGACCGGCTAGTCCTGCAGGAATGGATAACCAAGTAAATCAAGTGATATCGAACTTGTTGGCCTCGCAAGATCATATATTGAACACTGTAACGAAGAGGTTCGCCGACTTGAACTTGTCGAAACCACGTTTGGTAACCGCGTCTCCTAATACCAGTCCCACGCTATCTGGATTTAAGGCAACCGTTGAAAGTCTAACCCTCGAAAAGCAACCGTCGTCTCCGAAATTGTCGGACGAGACACCAACGCCTACGCCTACAGCCACGCCAAGCCCGTTAGAGAACGAGAGTTACGACAAGCTACAATCCGGTGCGACAATTTTGCACTACGCTAGTCTTGATCTTCCCGAGGTCGGGAGCACGGCGCCAGTTTCGCCGGTGTCGCAAGAAAGCTTTAATTACGCCGAAATCGATTTTGAAAAACTTAAGCAAAATTAAAACGCCATCTTGGATGCGGTTAGCAGAGGTGGGCAAAATTTGATTGGAATAATAGACGACGGGTAAAATCTCTGTACGATGATGTACTCGGATAAGCTTTTATTCGTGCAATGATAAATATAGGTTGACGGGTATCGAACAAGTAATTAATTGGAGGTTGTTGTTTGCCTTTTATTTGTTCGTCAAAATTTTTATCTGGACAAGAATTTTGCTCGTCTCTGGCGGATAGTAGTTGTGTCGGTGTAATACGCGCGTTGCGTATCGTGAGGTGCTTGGATTGGCTTGTTGTGCCCGTTCTTGACGGTAATAATGAACAGACAGGGCATTCGATCGGTCTAACATTGGCAGAGTCGGATTAATGAATTAGCAGGGTGTCGGATACGAACTGTAAATAGTGAATTCTTTTTATTCTAACCTTGAGTCGTGATCGTTTTATCAGTCCTGACATCCCGAAGGCAAGATTAGTGCCTATACTTCTGGTTAACACTGTATCGGATGTTGTTTCTCTTTTATCCGCATGAAGCGACTCCGTTGTAAAATTATGTACAAAGGTGATGCGAGTTTTTGAACTTTTGATGTTCGTGACGTTCGTTTACTGTTTTTTTTCTTTTTTAAGCGAAATGTTTTGATAAGATTTATTGATATTGTCTGCGTATTTGAAATTTTATCTCGTTTAAGTTTTTATTGATCGAATGTTATCGTGAAGTATTCTTATGATTAGTAACCGCAAAATGTTTTCGATTCGAGGGAAAAATTGAAGAGTATTTATCGACTATTTTAAATATATTTTTTAGATGTTATAGCGATTATCGTAATTGGTATTATTAATCATGTTAATTTTAGAAAATTTGAGTAGAAATCGATCGAAACGTGGAACGATACACTACCAGAAACATATGAGTACTAATTCCGAGTACACGAGGGTAGGATTGTTTCTTCACTAGAGGGGCTATGTGTTGGGCGCCAATGTTGGATCGATACAACTCACGGAATTCGTATTCAGAACAGACGGCTCTCGAAGTGAAGTATAGTTATGTGTTATCACGCTTTTCCGTATAAATTATGAATTGCCGAAATTACTGTCAGATTCGTTTACACGTACATACATCTTAGGTGCGCGCGCGCTCGCGCACTGACATGTCACATACAAATACACACGCATTTACAGGGTATTCTGTAAAAGATGGTACAACCAGAAAGAGAGAAAGAGAGAGAGAGATGATTGGTTGTGTAAAAATAAATGTAACCAGTCTTACGATGTTACTGAAGGTAGAAGAGAAAATATTTCTTAATACTACCACGTTTTATGGGTTCGATTTTATGACATACTTCTCCTCGCATACAGTTTAAGATAGTCGGTTATAAATTATATCATATCGTGTATATACATATGCATTGTCTAAATAATGCTATATGTATATGTATATGCGTATGTATATATATATATATGAGCGTGTATGTGTGTATGCATATGTATATGTATATATATAGCAGTAATAAGTATATTAATGATGAATAAAGCAGTATGTATTGCTGTTCTTCATTATACATATATTCCTTATAAAATAATTCCTTCTTCTCTGAAGGTTTTTTGAGAAATGGCATGTTAACCCTCCGTGGACAACCATATTTCTTTCAAACACAATAGGCAACCTGGATTTTTTATTCTTCCGTCTGATTTTCTATTGTCCTAGGTTTTGAAACAAACTGAAAATATTTTCTGATACTTAGCAATGTTTCTGATTTATTGTACGATCGATCGTTACGTAAAATGTTTAAAACTTTTTTCATTGAAAATAAAAACACGAAAGAATGTCGGGGAAAAATGGAAATTTGCCTGTATACTGAATGAGCCCCAAGTTGCCTACGGAGGATTAATTTGTATCGCTGTATAATAATGTTGTTGTAATTGTACATTGTCAGATTTAAGATTATTATTTTGACTGACACTAGCTAAAGTAAGTTTTATTTCATTTGAAGTATAGGTGAAATCATTTTTTGTTGCAGATTAACAAAATGTCCGTCCACTTGCAATAGATCGCGTTGTATAATTTTTAGTTTCTCGGTAAAAGGAGTTTTGTTTGATTTAAAATATTAACATGTAAATATAGACTCTTTTACAAATTAAATATTTGGATGATTTTATTATTTTGTGAACGTAGGTTTAATATCGTATCTTGCGAAATTCTCGGATTAATCGAATATTCGAGAACAGTATCAATGAGCCGTATAAATGTATCGATATTATGAGTAATTTACATTAGTGCGAGTTTTAATGCCAAATAAGATATTAAATTTCATTTTTTCATTCAAAATCAGTATTTATGTTTCATTGGACAAAGTATTCATTTTTCTAAAAAAAAAGAAAAAAAACTTAATTCGTAAGTTCAAATTAATTAAGTATCATATATGATTTCTGCTTATCTATAATTCGTATCTATAATTCCTAAATTAATAATTATATTAATAATAAAACACGATAATTTCTAAATTATACGCAATTGGTAAATTAAATTAATTTAATAACAAAGCAAACAAATCAGAATATTAAACGCTTTATGGTAAACATGATTTATTGTAAATTTATTAATTATATCATACACATTGTTATTTTTATTTGCTTATTCTAGATTTTCATTCGTGATCCCAATATAATAAAAACAGTACAAGATTTCTTCAATTATATTTGATACTAATTCAAATATTTATGTTACATCGGTATAAGATGAATGAATAATGTACACAAGAAAATGACAAAAAGATTTTCCATTCATATCGTGTGTATAGAGGTTATTAGGGAAGCTTGCAAATAAAGGGTGTAGCAAAAAAGTTGAACGAAGTTTAAACGTTGCAATTGATAAGGTTAAAGCAGCTGTCTATACGGAGATAGCCACACTGCGATTCATAAAATTCTGCGAATCGTGGATATTTTTTCACCGTTTCGCGTAATACAGTGTTGTCCTTCGAGTTGTTACCTTGTTATTTCTATTACTACCTATAATTGTTCGTACAGATTCTGTTTCTCGCTTGCCTTCACTGTTTCTAAATTGCTACCGCTATTTCTCGGCATGGTCTTGAACCTGAGGCGACCAGTAATGAAAGAAAAGAGGTTCTACAGTTTGGAATTTTACAATATGGAAAATTACAACACTTTCATAGATCATTTCTATAGCGTTCTTGTCAGGATTGTTGCCAAAACCATCTGATTACATTTACATATGTAGTTCTTACACAGAAACTTCGTTGTTTATAATTTCAAAAACACATCTGTCATTTGAGTAGATAATTTTTTTAAATTAAATAATTGAAAAGCAGTTTTTAATCTCACGACGCGATGAACATTGCTTGAAAATATGTTTTACAAATTTCAGATCTAACAACTATAGATGTAGGTATACTTTTTTTGTATCGTTTTAAAAATATCACTTATCTCTGACATCGAAATTTTCTTTTTTTTTTTTTAGGAGAACGCGTTCCAAAGTTTACAAAACCACTGTTTGAAATTGTGATATGATTTAAAAAGATGAAGAACCACCGCTGCACATCTAAATCGACCTCGATCGATCAAAAGTAAAGTTCTTGTGTTCTACTTATTACCAACTACCCTCCTTTTTCATTTCTCATTAACGCTACAATCTGACTCAGGAACCGTGCCTCTAAAATCACATAATCTGGAACCTCTATTCGACGTGTGTACACTATCCAAACACCGATGGAGGCAAAAGTCACGAATAAACTCTATTCACGAGTGCTCTGCCGTGAATGTCGTGCGGATTACGTGCCAGCAGGACGAAAAGGGGGATGAACGTGCATGTTTACAGAAACTGTTAGGATTCTATGCGTTTGAAGTAGCCTCCCTACGGCGTTTCCCTTATTTGTGCTAAATTGGCCCGTCCTCGCCGTCACGGACGAGTCAAGGTACTTAACTGCAGGTAAACATACCCTAAATCATGTGCTGGGGCTGAGGGAAGAGCAGCGGGTCGACCTTACTCCTCGTAAAATTGCACCGTATCGCGAGCATCCATTGTTGCACCCTTGTATAGACGCTCGCTTCTGTACAAGCATGGCCTTTGTACCGTTTACGCTGTGCTCTTGTTACGGCACAGGTATACGCATCAATGCCTCCTGAACGTTTCCTAATCGCGAGCCGTCCCAGAAACAGATTTTTCTTCCATCTTGAAATTTTCCTTCGATTGCTTTTTTAATCCTTACACCAATAACCAGGCCATCAAGCTGTTACTTTTTCCATATTTTACTACACAATTTTAATGCAAAGTTGATTTGGATTCTCGTTTCTAGCACAACACCATATTGAGTCACGTTTTAAAAATAAATATTTATGAGGAAACTATTCTGCATACTATTTAAAACAAAGATAATGAGTAAATATAAAACGAATATTCATAACCTAACAAACTATGTTATCTTACTTGTATCTCTAAAAGTATCAAATTTGTAGAGCTAGTAATGTACAGTTAACAACCAGGGCCTATGAACTACTTTGTTACTATTGAGCCACGTTTTAAAAATAAATATTTATGAGGAAACTATTCTGCATACTATTTAAAACAAAGATAATTACTAACTGTGAAGCGAATATTCATAACCTAACAAAATATGTTACTTTATTTACTTGTATCTCTAAAAGTATCAAATGATTACAGTTACTATTGTATATTTAACAAATAGGACGTATGAACTATTCTGTACAAGTAGATTAAAATCGGAGTTGGACAGGTTGAGTCCTTCCCTTATAAGCAGCAATTCGTGTACCACAGGTGGTACGTCTACCGTACTTTGGGAATTCCTGATCCAGTGAACAGATTTAGATTTAGATTCAGTGTAATGTTCTTTGTGCCAAAAGTAAGCATACGAGTGTCGGGGCAGCCTGGACAATGGTAGGCAAAATTTTATTCGAACAGTAACTATCAAATAAAACGAACATACGAAATTGAAGAAACAATTGTCGACAGAACTTCACCGTTAATTTAAAACTACATCTTATTTATATTGTAATGAGCGAATAAGCGATAGTTTCATACAATAATGTAAATTCGTTTTTATTCTAGATTAATTAAGTGTTAAGTGACTTACAGACGGAAGTATGCGTCCCATTTATTTTTCCTCGCTCGTTCATTATTCGAGATCATCGAGCAATCCATGAAACGACATACAATTTACGAGAACACGTTACCATCCCCCCAAGTATGGACAAGCTGATTAAGGAGCAGTCCGTTTTACGAGGGTTTCGTTGACATGTCAACCCCTGCACTTTTGCTGCGCATGTACGAGATACGTGGGTGGAGCTGAAGTAGGCGTCGCGACGCCGGTTGCCGGGCTTTCATAGGTACCTACATGAGGGGAGGAAAGATCGATTCAGATATTTTCAAGGAGAAGCGCTACCATTGCTGGCTTCCACCATCTCGCGCGTCAGCAAACCAAGGTATCTGCATTCTCCTACAGAGCAGTGCTATCCAAACACTTTTGGAAGTGAAAAAAATACAGAGTTTTCCAACGAGAGCGACAGAACTTTGAACCGAAAGAAAATCAGAACCATAGGGGTTTCCCAGTGGGGGACCGACAGACCATTCGATTGCCATAGCCGCCATGTTTGTTCGAGGCGATAAAATTATTAAAATGTATTATATTATAAACGTTTCTTGGTTCGATTTCTGATTAATAGAATCGACCAACAGAGCTCACTATTCGCCGTTCATGAGAATCCAAATTTATTCTAAAGACTTATTTGCTTTATTTACTTGTATCTCTAAAAGTATCAAGTTGTTAGAGCTGGTACACTTGGCAACCTACGAACTATGCTGTTAAAATAGTTAAAAAATAAATATAAGGAGATTATTGTGTATACTATTTAGAACAAAGATGATTAGTAACTTTAAAGCGAATATTCATAGTCTAACGAACTCTGTTACTTTATTTACTTGTATCTCTAAAAGCATCAAGTTATTACAGCTAGTATTGTATATTTAACAACTAGAGTAATTTTAATAATATCGTCAAACATACATCTAAGTGAAAGGATTAGCACACCGGATTGTCTTTTGTAGTTATCATTTTATTTAAATTGAAAGAGTGTGGTCAGTGTTGAAGGGTCGTGTCGGATTTTTGTCGCGTTCAATCAGAAACGTTGCACCGTTTTAAATCAAAGCCAGAATTTGTCCTACTGGGAAGGTCGAACGCGAGCGAGGAGGTTCCGCCGAGGGCTTGGATGCATAGGTAAATCGACTTCGTCGAGAGAGCTGCGCGCGTGTGAGTCGCATGTTCACCGGTAAACGAGAAGGGGTGCCGGGCCTCGGGGGTCGGAGGCCAGGGGTTGAAGCCATTACCGTCACAAAGCTACCACCAGATTGCCGTCGGGGCTTACGGATTGCCTATCCTCGTCCCTCTGCCGCTTTCTCCTTTTCCCGTCCCTTTCCTTCGCGCTCGCTTCGTTCGTATTCATGATTTAAATTCAATTGCCTTTTATCTGCCGTCCTGGACCCCGAGAGTCATTGATGATGGAATCGCGGAGATCAGAGAATCCGGTGTGCCTCTGCGTCTCTACCATTCCTCCCCCTCCTCCCCTCGAAACCCTCTGCCACTCGCGTCTGTATACCACGTAGCGCAAGAAATTTCCCTCGAATTTTCACGTGGCTCTTTCAACGTCCCAGAAACACGTTCATATTTCAGAAATTTTATTTATAAACGCAGATTATTTCATTCGTTTTTCTCTAGTTTTTCCAGGGCTCCAGAAAGTCAGGATCTTGACGATCAGCTACAGAATCCCGAACAAGTGCATCCTGGAAGGTCGACTGTCCCTGCTGTTTCTCGGGAAGAATGCGTGGCACGCGAACAGGAGATCTTCGAAGGGATGAGATCCTTCAGGGACCTCGTGGCCCTGAGCTCAGGGACACGGTCGCGTGGCGTTGACGAATCTGTTTAGTGCCATCATAATACCCATCCGACGGCGTCCTTCGAGAAATTGACGGATTCGATTCTATGAAGATCTTTAAGCCAGGGAGCAACTACCGTGTCGGTTTGTTTGTGCGGTTCTGCGACGACGTCGGCAAGGACGCGTGCTTTCTTGCGAAAAATTCTATTTTCTTGCGTATCTTTCTTCCCTATCTTCCCTTCGCTTTTTGCAATACTCGTCGACTCTGCTTTCACGACGCAACAACTTCGTAAGCCCGTGTCTGTATCTGTCTAACACGTAACCTTTTCTGTTTAGGTGGTGGATAGTGTTCTGGAACGTCGTGGAGCCAAAATCAAAAACGCTCGAAGAACGTTAAACACTCTAAAATTGCCTTATACTATGGTTCTTCACCCGTGGGGAAAATTTTAATGGGAGATTCTAGATACC